GTAATATCTCATTGGTAGTAATAAAATATCCCTTTAGATATTTTGGCTATTCGTCTAAGTTAATGTATTCCTGCTAGATCTAATAATTAAATTAGACTAAAAGTTGTGGAACGTAAATCAAGTGCATGTATTTGGTAAACACAGGTAGTGTGACGCAATGGAATATTTTGATTTTGACAACAAAAATGAATGAAAGTTTGTAATATATGTATGCTGTAATAATAGAAACACCAGTCATTTGCTCTGTAAAATTATCATGGTTGGTCTACCAAATGTAGCAATTATCCTATGAGTTTTGTAACCATGTAGAAAAATAATCTTTTTCTAACCTAAAGTACGAATGGCATGTGACTAATTCTGTTGAATTCATTCATTGCGAATAAAGAATTGTTACATAGTTTTCTTTCCAGACTCATACCTTTAAAAAACTAGACTATAGTGAAGAAAGTTTGACAGAAAAAACTCTTGCCTACTGTCAAAACTGTGGTTTTTCACTACTCTTTAAGGATTATTTGTATTCTTCTGCACATAGATACTCTTCTTATGCTAGATATCCCAATCTATTTTTCTCATGTGCATAAAATGGTTGTGGCATTATTTGGTTCAAAATAACGCAAACTGAATAAGGTCTGGGTTTGACAAAACTGGACTGTAGATCTGCTGTCTCTATGCAGCAAGCTTTTCATCACAGAAATTAAAAAAAGACCTTGTGATAAACTTTATGTGGTACAGGTTAAGATGTTACCCATACATAATATTTCTCATTGGCTTTTCTCTTATGATTCATTGTTCGCTGGTTTATAATTAACATCTTTTAGTATAAATGATCAAACTATTCACTGATTGACTCTTCGAAAGTTGTCTTTGTCACATTATCCAAATATAAGTTGCGTAAAAATGTGATAGCCAGCCTGAGCGGGTTTCTCTCAATGTGTGCTTCAGCCACTATCAGGCAGCTGCAGACGGTCAGCTTGGCCTGGCCCTGGTGACCCAGTATGGAAACTACCACACATGACAAAAACTAAAACACAGTTTTTACATTCTTCCACTTTTACTTGGCACCCATAATTTATAGAACTACTAAAACGACTTTTGATCAGGGTTCATATAAAAATGTTAGAAAATGAACGTGGCTTTTGGTGACAGGTAAAGTTGTTACTTACCGCTACATGTTTTGTGCAAGGCTGTTTCCTATGGTCAGTATAGAATATTTAAATTGAGGCTGAGACTACGTGGATATCCTCCAAATTAGGGACTATGCTAAACACCGATATATTTTTACCAAGAATGTAATGTCTCTCATAAAGTCGGATCAGACACAAGATCACACAGTAGTACATTTTAGTGCAGTGCTTAACTTCCGCACTTCCGCATAACGTTTTAAGCTAATCTTTCTGTCCTCCTTACCTTTACCTTCCTTTTTTTACATTCTACTTGATTTGCTGATGTGGGTTGTGGTAATCTGAAACAGTTTGTGGGGATGCTAAATTGTTTTTAGGGAATATTTATTGGTGCTTGCAAGAGAGATCAATCATGCCTTGGAAATATTTCTGATTGGAAACCAAGTAGAGTAATTTTCAACCCCCCTCACTGAAAAGACTTTTTCACAAATGTTTACACCCACAGAAGAAATTTCGTTGAGGTAGAAAAAGCTTCGTTGTTAAAGGCTTTGTGTTGTATATGAAACATCATTTCAAAACTGTTCACAGAAAGTCACCTCATTCCACAGTGCACTGAAGTTGTAAGCATTTCTCACCTTTATTATCTGCCCAAATACATATTGTTTCTCGTAAACCTAATTGTTATCTTCAGCATTATTTTAGTATACACTTGTAAATTCAGCAACAATGTCAACAGCTTAAAGTCGTTAAAAGCACATTAAAGTGAATTCCATATACAACCTGCAAACATTCTACAATTTTTTCAATACAAGACGAGATAAATGCATTTTGAGTCAGTAAATTAGGTGGCATGATAAAACTCGTGTGTCTAGAATGCACTGAAGGAATCCAATAGGGCAGGCCAGAAACTTAGTTAAGGGTTAGTCACCTGGAACAGATTTTTCTAGCACCAAGTTGTGAAGTTAACTTATCACATGAGCACCCAGGCTCAGGTTAATGAAGTGGGACTAAAACCTGGTGCCCACCAACTGAATGCCAACTTATCGAGCCAATGGACCACATTTTCATGTTTCTAGAAAGCAATCTGATGTCAGCTCACAAAATAAAAACCGTAAATTTCATTTATTATATAACAGGTAAGGTGCTGAGGTGACAGTTTATATCACTCCTAGATAGATAACGGTGATATTTTGGGTTGTACGGAACTAGCTGGTCATGGTTCTTATGGCTACAAAAATCGGTTGATGTTAGATGGTTGGAGCCAATCGTCAGAAAGCCTTACTCGACCTGGGTTTCGTGCTAGTTGGCACTCACAAGTCAGCATGGTGTATCTGCAACTTTGAAGGAACGCATGTCCCTTCTGAGATTCTAACCTGCGTCACACAGTGCTGCAGTTATAGACGTTACCACTGAGCTATTTGGGTTCGCGACTGACCTCCTGTAGGACTGTAGTGGATACTTTGATTGGACACTAGTAACTAGTGTGATGTGTCTAATCCTTTTTTTAATGCGGACTGAATTCTATCAGTCAGGTTGGTAATGTGGCCACCATTTCAACATCAATAATTCAGAGTTCATCGTGATGGCAAGCTGCTTATAATGGTGGCCACATTGCAAACCTGACTGATAGAATTCAGTCTGCACCAAACAAAGGACTAGAAACATCACACTAGTTAACGGTGTCCTATGATGGAAATCAGTGTTTGGAGAGTGTTTAAATCAAGGCTTAAAATCTCTTGGGATGTTGAATGGACATTTACTTTTTGTTATCTCACAAATTCCTAAAATTATTATCAATCTTTATTCGATAGTTGTCTCCCGTACGGGTTTGTCCATTTTATTTTCATGACACCCCTCTCCTCTACTTTTAGTTTTTCTTCCGAAACTAAGAAAAAGTGAAGTGGTTCACTTTTACGCAAGATTCCTTATTTGTAAATATGTCGGACAAAACTAGCTACATGAACTATAGTACAATAAGTTTTTCAAGCTAAACATGAGACTAGTAATATATTTAACTGGAAAGAGATAATCCGTCTATATTTGGAAGGTGTTTATGAAAACTGGATTCCACCCAAAACAACAAAGCCACACTAAAACACCGAAAACAAATTATTTGATGCTAATGTTGAATTCATTATATAGTAAATCTTTTCACATGTTCCATAATGCCAAGACAACATTTACAAAGATTTTTGTCACTGGGTAAGCTGACAACAAATGATGCATTATTTTCACCTCGAAATAATTCTTCAACTTTTGAAATAATTTTTTATGAAAGAGCCTGACCGTAAGGTATTTGGAATTCACTTTTATAAATTACTGCCGTATAATTTACTTCCAGAATATAGACAGTAAAAGGCCTTAAGCAGATAATGTTTAGTACTGGATAATATTTCGATGACACCCATGAACTGAGAGCACACATTCAACTCCACTAGATCAGCAGGCAATATTTGTGATTGGTAAAATGACAAATGCATCATTACTTTCCCTAACTTGCTGAAGTTCAAAGTACATGTAAATAACTTGTAAAGTACAACAAACATAAGATATTTATTGATTGTGTTAAACAATAGCTTAATAATAAGGAGATTAAACTGAAGTTTAGGAGTCAACAAAAAAGTAATCAGATGTCGACGAAAAAATTCTACACCCAGTTATATCACAAAAAGACTACTGAAAATAAAAGCTAATTTTTACAATGAATGACTTCAGTTTCGCCCAAGGAATTCCTTTATGATAAGAATAAGAAATAAGTGTATTCCAAAAGTTAACCTTTAGAATTGTTGCCCTTAACACCTATGAGGTGATAAACTTCACCATGCAATGCCTCGAAGGTTTTCGCCTTATTTTTGTTTGACCATTTTAATATTCTCCAGGCGACCTCCCAGGCTCATACTTAAGTAAATGCTAGGCAGTGGCTCAGCCTTTTTAAATAGCTCATTACGCACATCGCCTTTAGCCATCACAAAATTACTTAATTCTTCTACGTTAAGACCTAGTAAAAGAATATAAAGTTACAATATTTGGCTTACGATCAATGTTTTTAAAACCATAAAAACAATGTACAGAATAATCCGGTCTCATTTAGGTACATATCCACGGTTAATGCAAATAATTACAGAGCATTTAAAAATCATGTAAATACCTCCAGAAGTGAACACATATGCTATGTGGAGGGAAATAGTCTATGTTCCCCCTTCCTTAATGCTGTTACTATTACCACATGCGACAGGTTACAAGCTACTTGCAACAAGTTAGCTGTCTGTGAAATTTCACACAGTTCTCAGGAATCACAAATCAAATTATCTGACACTTTAAAGTTTATTGTAGGCAAGTTATGACATACAAATCTGATCGTTACAAATCAATTCTTGAAAAGGGAACATGTATTATGTAGTATACGTACATGACTGAACTGAATTTGAGTAGTTTCCGCCCCTCGTTTTAATTCATTTATTGAAAGCCCCCAGCTGGCACTGACTCTGGGAGTGCAGCGGAAAGTTTAGGCCAGGCTTAAGCGCCTTGTTCCACATCCGGCAATGCTTCCGAAGTTCTCTGCCCCTAAGATTCCGCAGTGCACCCGAAGAAAATGCTAGCTGGGCCATTGTGGCAGTAGTGTCAAAATAATCAATTGCATGGCACTTATCAAAGCTCTTTTAGTTTTCCATTATAGAACAGACTCAACGAGAGTATCGTGACAACTGACGCTCGTGATTCACAGCTTTGCGATAAAGGTTCACCCATTTAAAAAACAGGAATATAATTATATGCAATATATAGCCAATACACTATTCCGATTCTAAAGTTCCAGCAAAAAAATAAACAATCAACCATAAATAGAATATAATACAGTTTTCGAACAGGTTAATGACAAACCTCAACGGTTCAAGCTGTTTCTAAGAATGGAAAACGGAAAAGCAAAATATTTTCAAAATAACGCTCCCACAATTGTTTAAAACACAACCTTTTGACAGTTGATTTGTTGGTAGCTTTTTGTGCTATTTTTGCATTACCAATCATTTACGTCCACTAAAAGAAGCTATTTTCTTGAATTATACGACTTGAAACTGCTGTAATATTCAAGATGCATGTGAAGCAAATAGGAAATTAATAAATGAAGTGGTTTGCAACCTGGAACCTATAATATAATTTAAGGTGTTCTTAAAACAGATTTTTCTCATCACTCTCAAAAATTCTGGACTCCTGTGTTTGTCTGATTTATTAAGAAACAATGTAAATGTTATTGTAGTAGACCTATATCCTGGAGACAAACGAATATTCACATATTTTGCGCGGTATTAATGAGGGAGTCACTCCGGATTCCGACCAGTTAGTCTAGGTGAGATAATATATATATATACAGTTGCTTAATGAATACATTTCTATGTGTGGGACAAGAAGAAGTGAGAGAAATGCAAAGCTATGGCACAATGAGAAAATTGCTCCTCCCTTTTATTGAATGCTACATTCCCGAGACACTTTGTGTCAAGATCCAGTGGGAGAAACATATTGTTCAAGAAGTATATCATATTAGAAAGTCAAAGAAATACTTAGCAGAACAAATGATTTCATTGGTGACCATGAAATAACCAATAAATAACAACACATTTATGTAAAACCTTTAACAAAGAGCTCGAAAGTGTTGGAGACATGTTTCTCCGAAAATAACCCTAGGCTCCCGCAGGAGTGTTAGCATACATTCAAATGTGCGACATGTAGGGTAGGAAGTTAGTTTTTAGGCGTTAAGTTAGCCCTCAGTCCTAGTTAGGACTAGGATTAAAATCTGAAGCTAAGGGTGAGTGTATGGCTAGGATTAGGATTTCGGGCTAAGCCTCCTAGATAGAGGTTACGATTGCGTTCCAGACACTGCATAGACTAAGTACATACTGCAAATCCAGCGCAGCTAAACTTCCTGCCTCCCCAGACAAAGCATTGGCTCGGCTGTATGGGAACAGTCTGAAACCACTCAGAAATCCTTTTGTTGATGAATGTAACTCCACTCATTAGTGAGGTTTACAAACCACACTCAAAACTTCAAGTTCGCACCTCACCTAATACAGATGAATTGCGAAACTGGTCTGCTGGCATTGGCCATTAATCTGGTTCAATTAGCAATGCCAATGAATCACTCATGGGAAACCTACACATACAACTTCTTAATGTAACAGATCTGATTTACACTTCTATTTTAGAATTAGTCACCACTAAACGATCGTTCTTGTCACAGTTTAACATTGAAAATTATGGAGTTCAGTCTGCATAGAGGAACAACTTTATCCGTTAATATCATTCCAATGAACTCAATCAGTTCATATTCGGATGGAATAATGCTTTGATTTTTATTATTCCGGATAACATGTTGAGTAAAACTGTTAGTTCGCGTGTTGTCCGGAAATACTAAGAAGTCCAACTGACTCTTAAAACGAGCCATGAGTATGCTTGCAGAAAAACGTCCAAAGCTACACTGTGAGAAATCACAACTTACTCATGTAAGGTTACCGAGCTAAATTACGTGGTAATCACCACAACTACTTAAAATTCATCCCTGATTTCGGTCCCTTCCTCTAACAGGTGCACCCAACACCCCTTCATTTCCTATCATTCTCTTTTACTAGGGTATTTCGATGTCATGCAAATGATGGGATTCGTTTCGCTTATGGCCGAAATTCCTGAGGGCCTGTAAAAATGACCTACCATATGTGTCATTGTAGTTGAAGATTGAACGATCAATTCGTGGTTGTTTGCTCAAACCCAACTTCCCTATATTTTCACGGAGACATCGATACACCAGTCATCGTCTCATCGGTCGCTGTTCAGAAAGAAGTCAGGCCAAAACCGTCAGAAGTAATATTGTGATTTATTATTGTAATATTTGTTCATAGACCTTAGCTATTATGTCGCTCATATGTTGGTGTTAGAATAAGGAATTCTCGAGTCGCCAATCGGTGTTCTGTTTTTTGTGTCCGTTAGTACTAAGCGTTTCTGAAAGGCTTCGAGGGACAGCAAGAGACCCGGCGTAGTGAGAGCTGGGCATTAACGGCTTTTAAGACGTGATTGACAATATGTTTTTTAAATAAAGCTTCTGTTCTGATTATGGTTTCCAAAAGTCTGACTTTTTTATCTATCTCAGCCTGGTGGGCGTTTACCACTGATCGACCGATTACAGTGTCGTGTTACGAGGCGCATTCCAGTAAAGTCAGATGAACCCGAAACCGCAGTATCACTCATCCGTAACTTATTGCTAGCAATGCAGTCGATTAGACCACAATACGGATATTAACCTCCAAGGGAAACAAAGCCAGTTTGAAAAAGCCAGGTCACTGAATATTTATTCATTATTAACAACTTTGGTAGCCGCCTATCATCCTCGCAGAGGAAATCTCCTGTTCAGTAAGCAATATAGACTCATTATCAAAAGGCACTCGCAAGCTGTCCGGAAATTCGTTGCGCCGCCGACACTTATTGGTTGTAAACTTGGTCTGATATTCTACAATAACACTATGCCATCATTTTGTTTACATTGGCCATAATAATAATGTATATTCTCATATAAACCATAAATTCGTGGTTGTTTGCTCAAACCCAACATCCCTAATTTTCGCGGAGGCATCGATACACCAGTCATCGTCTCATCGGTCGCTATTCAGAAAGAAGTCAGGCCAAAACTGTCAGAAGTAATATTGTGATTTATTATTGTAATATTTGTTCATAGACCTTAGTTAAAACTTAATTTTAAAGTTGCCTATATATTGGCGTTACAATAAAGAATTCTCGAGTAGCCAATCGGTGTTTTGGTTTTGCGTCCGTTATTACTAAGAGTTTCTGAGAAACTTCAAGGAACAGCGTGAGTCCCAGCGTAGCAAGAGCTGGACATTGACGGTTTACGAGACGTGGCTGACAGTTTCTGACAGTACAACGTCAGTTTTTAAACAGTTCTGGACAGTTGGCACTACTTTGGATAGTCACCGTTCATCTTTCCTGGTGCCGGTCAAGTCCTCTTTGAACAAGCAATATCTGGAACTTTTTTGGAATTGGGTCAAGTTCGACAATGCCTGGGTCAAAGAAGGGACAGAGCGTCTTGGATGCAAACAGGAAAGTAAGTCATGGTGACTTGTCTGTTAATTGTAACGATGTGTCTGATGTTAAGCATGACATGGTTGATGTTACTGTTTCGCCGTTCAGGGATAATAGGAATATCAAACTCCCTAAATTTGAACCACGGTGTTTCGATGGAAACCCGGCTGATTATTTACAATTTGAAAAGGAGTTTGAGATCATGCTGAGTAGTTTTCTATTAAGTGATGAATTGAAGTTAATGTATTTGATGAGGTATTGCACTGGAGATGCTTCAAGAGCTATACAGTGCTGTAAGTTTATGAAGCCAAAAGAGGGCTACTACGAGGCTATGAGCATACTACGTCAAATGTTTGGAAGACCTTGGATGATTGTAGGGGAATTATTCGAGGCTGTTAAGGGTAATGGTGGTCAGTTACAGGATGACTCCAAGGCACTCTCTGAGTTTTTGGATAATTTGCTGATTTACAAGAATGCATTTGATATGTATCCATATATATGTGTGTGTATGGTGGTCTCTCTTTCTGTTGCTCTCTTAGTCTGTAACCATTTCACTTTGATGAACATGTCTCCTTTAACAATGTATATTCCCCTTATATTATATATAATATGTGTGTTTGTTGACAGTCTGTTCTTGGTGATATATATATCCATATAATATGTGTGTTTGTTTGACAGTCTGTTATATTTCGCTATGTATATATGAATCGATACTCCATTATAATTAGCCAATCATGTTAAGACTTCTATTGATTTGTTCACACACTTGGTTTTACATTCATATATATTTTGCCCTCACACTCTCGTGTGATACATTTGATTCTCCTTGTGTTTGGAAAATAGAAGTATCATCGCAAACCTAGTAGTCTTCTGATATTCGTCTTTCCTGCGTCAGGACTATTAAATTCTCGACCAGTACATAGCAATAATTTAGCAACGAGTACATAACAGCATTGATTTCGATGAATAGCATGAGTGACCTCAACTCGAGTTTTATACTAGAAGTAATAGCAAGACGCCTACCTACTCGACTGCAAAGGAAGTGGGTGAAGACAAGCTCCCGTATGGAGGATGAGGGTATCGAGCCAAAGTTCGATGACATTCTGAAACTTGTAAACAATAGTGTCAATCAATCTATGAGCAAGTTTGCCAGTATATTGCATCCCACCCCTAGAATAGAGGAGTCTGAGGGAAAAACGCAATCATTGATGACGAATAGTCCTCAGAGAGGTGGATATCGAGAAGGCTTCATGATGTCTAGTAATGCATATAGACCTAGTGAGTGTAACAGGTTTCGTGGTACATCCTCAACAGATAAGTTACAAGCTGCAAGACAAACACGGTTGTGTTTTACACGTTTGCAAGAGGTGCATAAAAAGGTGAGCTGTGAATCAGTGGGCAGGTTAAGTGATAAGCTAAGTGTGAAATCCAGGTCTGACTCCGAATTGTGTGACGATAATAGCGCGGTGAAGAAGCCTGTAGTTGCAACTGGTGAGTCATTGTTGAATAGTATGCCACAGAAGAGAGTTACAGTTTCAGAGTTCAGTTCTGACCCCATAAGTTTACAAGGTATTACTAGTCAGAGTGAAGGTATAAAATGTTAAGGGATTTGTGAGGAAGAACCCAAATCATCCACTTCTGTTATTAAAAAGTTTGAAAAAGAAGTCGACCAGATAGATGATGGTAAATTGAATATCTGTGATAATAATCATGATAGTGCAGATTTGTCTTCGGTTGATCATGATGAAATGGGGGGAATGCCTACTACTGCTAAGTTGAATAAAGGTTCTGTACAACTTGAACGTGAAGTAGAATTAAATGCAGATGCAGTTGCGGAAGGCATGCATACTTGTGAGACCGTCAGTGTGATTGATCAGCATGTAGCCCATCTATCATCAGATGATAGTGCTAAAGCGGAGCTGATAGTAAAAGACAGCAGTTGTGGTAATCTTGCAGTTAGACAACTACCTGAAAGCCGAGCAACAACAGCTTCTGATCCACCGCTAAGTTCATCAAC